TTATTCTTTGGGCCAAATGAAATATTTATACGAGCTGAGTTCAAAGTCCAAGGGACATGGGTTTGAATCCTATATAGACTATGGGGTCTTTTCTTAGAAATTTAAAAAAAAAACTGTTTTTCTTTACACTGCACAATTATATCCAGAAAAAGGATGAACGTCTCAGTTTTACAGCTTTTTCTTACATAGTATTTTGGTCCAACAACAATAACTCTCCCTACCTCATCAAAAGTCTGCAGGCAAAACAGAGAAATGTTCAAAATCCTGAAGTCACTGGAATCTTGTTATGAATCTTGTTATCAGGGCCTGTTCTAAATCTAGTCAAATCATTTAATTTCAGCGTAGCCCTTTCCATTCATCTGCAAAATCAGGGTAATTACGTCTTTCCTACCATTTTCACAGAGACATTTGGTTGAAAAATGAAATTATACACAGCAAATGAAAAGCACATTTGAGATCTTCAGAGAATAAAGTGCTATTTAAACCAAGAAGATTAGTAAGAAAAACCTCAGAAGTTTGCCTAAGATTTTTCTCTTTCCAGCCACATTTTATGACATCAGGGTAACTGTGAACCAATGCCTTAGCCCAACACAATCTTATGGAAGACCTACCCAAATCTAACATGGTGGTTTTCAACCATCATGGTACATTAGGGTGTGTTAATGTACCATGAATTTAGTTTTTGAAAACTAGAAGTTTTTAAAAATCCAGATTCCTGGTCACCATCCACAGAGATTGTAATTGAATTGATTTGGGTTGGTAGTTCTAAAGAACTCTCCAGATGTTTCTAATTTCAGCCAAGCCTAAAAATAACTTATTCAGAAAATCTTTTAAATATGTGAAACAATCACTATTGGTATATGTGCATATAATTAACGTAGGAATCAGAAGTTTTCTATTTGACACCACCATTGATCATGGCTCACCCTTTTTCAGATAAACATGGATACACACACACACACACACACACACACACACAGTCCCTCTATCTTTTTCTATTCACATATTGAGCATATAGAAGGATAATTATGACCACAATAAAAAGCCAAACTTTATTGAGCACTTAATAAGTGCTACTAAGCTGTCTGCATAGATTGCCTTATACAATGTCCACAAGAACACACATGAGCTAGGTATGGCTATTCCCATTTTTAAAGAAGAAATTAGTCTCTTAGAGAGGTCAAAATGACTAAGCCAATGCCACACACCTGCAAACTGACAGACTTAGATTTTGAACCCTGGCAGCCTGACTTTTATAGTCAGTGCACATAACCACAACATCAGTTTGCTTCCCACTGTGCCAGACACTTTAAGAGTTTATGAGATGCATAAAAGGAAATGTGTGACCTCAAGGAGTTTACAATCTGAGAAGGGAATTGTGATGCACAATAAAATTCATAGGTTGTACAGGAAAATGGTACAATTGTAGTCCCTGGAGTTAGGAAGAGGTGAAATAGATGGGCAACAGAGCTCCTATTTCCACAACTATAGGGGAAATAAGATGCAGCCAAACATTAGAAGAGAGAATGTTTTAAGACTACCAGGATAAGAAATGCTGGTCAAAGCACAAAGTATATTTATATATTGGCCAAGTTCAATGCATTTATTAGTCTTATCATCATCTCCCAGCATGATTTGAATTGGATATTTATACCCACCCCTAAATTTACCAGATTGTCAGTTCAATTTGAAAACGATGAATTTTGGGAATTCATCTCACCTCAAACTCTAGTTGTGATTCTTATTGAAATTATATGCATAAACATCACACATGCACACACACAGACACACACATACACACACACCCCTAATAATTTGACTTCCAAAGAGATATATAAGTTGTATTCTTCTGCTAGGCATAAATTATGTAAAAGCGAAATCAACATTTCAGGGAAAAGTCTTAAAATTGAAAACAGAATATGTCCCTTTGTATTTTTATTATCTAAACATAATAAGAAGGTAAGCAGGATCATTTTTTATCCACAACACATAGAATCTCAATTAGTTATGGTCTATTTGTGCACTGACTTAAAACATTCGTTAACAAAACAGAATTTTCTAGTTTACTGGATAAATATACCAGAAATTGCAGAATAATGTCAGGTTGCCAGGCAACCACAGCTCTACTCTACTTTGTTATCAATCCAACTCATTCATCGAGCTTCCTAACCCAGTGATACAGAATTCCAACCAATTTGTTTCTTGGGAAAATTATAGTGACTTTCAGTAACACAATAACACTTTTATTCTCAGCAGATAAACTTAAATCCCTTTTGATCAAAGGGATGTGTTAATTCATTATTCTCTACGTGGTGCTAATGAGAAAGCTATAATTAACTAACTACACTATTGCGACACACATAAAATAAACTGCAGTAATTAGTAATGTTTAAGGTGTTAAACAGCCTCCAAAATTAGAAAATACAGAATCTTTCCTCGGATAAAGATGTACAGAAAAAAGAAAGCAGCACATCTAATTAAATTGAAAATTGTTTCCAGCCTCCCCCAAGGGGAGGGAGGAAAGGCATGTGATCACCAAAATATAAGAGATTTCACTTTAATAGCAGAGAAAATGGCTCAATGCCAATAATACTTGTAGGTAGACATAAAATGCTGGCGAATAATGTAATCTTTTCTTTGAAAGAATGCTTAGCACAATATTTTTCCTGGAACGAATAGAAAGAATATTATGCTTTCACTCATTAGCTGTGTTAACTTAGCATATTGTATGTAAATCACCATAATAATTGCATTTTCTTCAGACTGAATTAGTTAGAATGAAGCTGTAATCAAAATGTTCATAATTGAAAATATACTATTCTCAATCTTAGTTTGAAAAAGTAACAAGGAACACTGATTGAATCAGATAATATAGTACATCACTGAAAACAACCTTATTACAGAGACAAGTTCATTCTCTTGATTATACCTTTGCATTTCAATTAGGTTCCCAAATTCAGGATTCAACACCTCCCAATCTGTCATGATTTTCTACTCTTACCATTTGTCTCTGGATTAAGATAAGTATTCCAAGTGCATTGCTGCTAGATTTTTTAGAGAAAATACTAAATGGTGAAAAGCTAATTTTATTGTTTCTAAAATACATTAGGCTCTACTGCACGGTTGGCTGTCATAAATCAAAGGGCAAAATAATTTCCAATAAATGAAACATTTAATGCCAAAGCTCCTGGGAAACAATATGTAAATGATCACATGAATTTCAGACAAGCTGTCACACTAATTCCTCAAGGTACCTTTTAAACATGACATATTCACAGTGAGGTTGAGAGGGCTGTCTTGCAAAAGCCAAACACTACTACCTGAAGTGATACTCTTAGTATTTTCTGACAATCATTCCTTCAATTCTGACACCATTAGTTCCCCTCTATTACTTAATTTTTCTTTATCAGTTAAAAACACAAGCATCTTAAATCATCTTGATCACCCTTAATTTTCCATAAAAGCAAATCAGGATAAATTATTTAAACAAAGCAATTTTGGGGCAAATAACTTCCTACCTTCAAAGACTTCAGAAGCAACTATAAAATCCAACAAATGTTTTTCTGTGTGAGCTCTGTTTTTTAAAGGTCACTATGTGATGGTGACATCTGCCTGGCTTTACTTGCCTCAAGTTCACCAAGAAACCTTTATATTTTAATGATAGAATGATTTTTAAAATTTATTTTAAACCAATTCATATAATAAGATGAATTAACTTAAGTGTAATTAGTATAGCATGTGCAACATCAACTCCTCTTAGACCTACAGCTAGGCCCATAAAGTATACAGTTTGCTTATCAGCAGATAGGTTGAAGCACTACATAACCATGAGGAATCAATAAATACCTATACTTTTACTTTAAAGAAAATAATCCATAAATCTAGATGCAACAAATAACAATCTGGAAGACACATATTCATCATCATAGTCCTGTGCTGCTGCAGTGAAGTGGGTACAAACATGCCCTGAAAGAGATTTTAATGAGCTGCCATAGCCAGTACTCACACCCACCCAGTAATAACAATTTATCTCCATATTTGCTTACAATATTCAGGAGCTTGCAAGGAATGATTATACACTACACTCTGCCATTACTAGAGGTAAATCCCCTGCAGCACTTAAGGCCATAAAATAGAAAGTCAGGGTACACATAGGCTCTGTAACCAAGTTAAATTATGAAAGTCAAAGAAAGGGTGGTCCCTCAGAAAGAGACTGAAATTAAGACAAACCCATCTGCAACACCTGCAGGTGAAAGAGAAAACACAGATTTACAGACAAAACTGTGGGATAAAGTTTTTATTTTCTTGTCACCAAAAAGCCAACTTCATCAGTAGTTGATCAGTTTCTCTCTTCCAACCTGATGCAAGCCAGAGCTTTTTAGAAATTGGACTGGGCAGTAAAAATATTCATAGTCCACTCAAGATTATTCTCCAAAGTTAGAAAATGCATAATTTTGACTTGAACAAAAATGCAGAGAAATGAGAATACACCATATATAAACTGAGGATTAACAGTAATGCCATCAACAACAACTAACTTTTGAGTGCTTATTATGCATCAGACACAGTGTTAAATTACTTGTATTATCTCATTCCAGTCTTGCAACAACCCAATATAGAGGGTATTGATAATCTCCCTATTATTGAGAAAGGTAAACTGAGGCACAGCAGAGTAGTTAAATGGCCAGTCCAAAGTGACATATCACAGTGATGGTGGAGCTGGAATTCGAAGACACGTGGGCGCCCCGGGAATCTCCGCCTAGAACAAGCCCAGGTTGCTCACCAGTTGCCCATCTCCACGCGCACGCGCAAATCTCCCCACCCACGGCGCGTTCCAGCGGGAGGATGCCATCGCGCACGCGCGTGGCCAGGCGGCCGCTCTCTGGCTCCTGGGCTGGTCCGCGGCTCCCACTAGCCGGACTGGACCCCACCGCCCTTCAATGAGGGGCTGAGCCTGGGGATCCCTCCCCGCCCGGCCGCCCTGCCGTGCCGACACACACCTGCCTTCCTCAGCTGGCCTCCCACGCCTTCCCCTGCCTCCGGCCCGACAGCCGAACACCCACCCTGCGCTCGACCCTTAGCGCCGTATGGGGCGGGGGTACCTGGGCCCGCGCGGCGGCGGCTCCTCCGGCTCGTGGTTTTTCGCAGGAATTCCCCAGCCCTTCCCTGGCTGAGAAAGTGCTGCTTGCAGCGAGCCAGGAGAGTGGGAACGGAGGGGCCGGCTTTCCCCAGCCTCCGGTCTCCAATCCCTGCTCTCCAAATTAATCACTCTCTCCCTGCTGCCTCCCCACGCACACTCACACTCAAAAAAAAAAAAAAAAAAAAAAAAGGCAAGAGAAACAGAGAGGCACAAAGAGGAAGAAGGGACCATCCGTGACTGGCATCTCTAGCTCCCCAGGCTCTGCTACCAGGAGCCATGGCAACCAGGGCCCCCGGCCTGCCCTCGCGCCCCCTCGGCGGTCTGGGGAGGTGGAGTTCTAGCCCCTCTCTGGTTTTTCGTGCCCTCCACCACACCCCCCGCGGTCCATTGATTCCCCACTTCCAGGCTGGCGGCATTTTCTGAACCCCCCTGGGATCTAGAAGCGTCTCCTGAGAGTAGGAGCCAGACAGGGGCAGTCGGTTGGGAGGGGAACTGAGCCCCACAGTCTAGGAGGTGTCCAGGTGCACGAGGGGCGTGGTGGGAGAGGCCGGGACTGACCCCCAAACTAGCTAGACCTCGGACCCCTACCCGAGAGGACGGGAATCTACAGGGGGATCTGGAATCCTCTTCAGAGGGTAGCGAGGGATGGGGTGGGAGAGGCTGGAAATAAGAGGGTCAACCTACCGGCGACCAGCGGGAGTGAGTGGGAGCTGGTGGATTCGGGGACCCAGTGTACTCCATCCGACTGCCCCCGAGCCGTCTGAATTCAGCCTCAGCCACCTGGGGGCGGGGCTTGGAAAGGGGGTGTCTCTTCCCGGGTGAAGACTGAGGGACCTCGGACCACCCCCACTTCAGACAAGGAACCCTGACTGCGCACCTTTTCCTTTCCATAACGAGTTGACCCCCTTCTCCCGGGAGCAAACCCTTAGCCCTTTCTCCATGGGAGACCCACCAGGGCTGGCACGAGAGATAAAAATTGACCCACACCCCGACACACCTGCGTCCCCTCAAGCACGCGATCCGTCCGGTACCTGCCTTCGGGAAACTTCTCCCCCAAGCTGGCTGGGAGCTGGGACAGGGACGGGCAGGGTTCAGCAGCTCTGGGCGGATCCAAGGGAGTTTCTTGCCGGCCGCTTCCCGCTGGTCCTCGCCTGTCCCCTCCCGATGCTGGCGCTGGCCGCGGGAAGGCTGGACCTGTTCTGGCTTGCACCGGGCTCCACGCCCTCCTGCCAGAGGCTGGCTCCCTCCTCTCCTCCCTTCCTCGGTTCTGCGCCGCCACCCCTCACCCACGCCGCTTATTTTCCCTCCCTTTGCACACTCCCATGGGACAGGGAGAGTTACAGGCTTAAGACTTTATCTCATTGTGGAAAGCAAGGGACCACGCCAAAAACTTTGCTCCTGCTTTTCAACATCTCTGGTCAAAAGAGGTAGGATCTCTCTGCTCGTTTATCTGCAAAAGAGACATTTGAAAGAAACGCCTCCCCGCTCCCGATGGTTTCACTCAGTTCATATTCCATACACAAGTCGCCAATCTGGTTTTCACCCATTGCTGCATGTTAGAGGGGTGTGGTGCCATGTACGTATTAAAAATGGTCTTCTTGCTTTCCTTCATTCAAGGGCGTGGTGGAGCTTGCTATTGAATTTACAAAATATACTATAATCATCTGTCAAATTGTGCATACATAAAACTAGAGACCTTCTATTTTTTTCAATTTTTGCCCTAATACATAGAGTCCATATTTTACCATATTGTTTCATAATATTTTTCCTACTTATTCTTTATTAATTCACTGTTGGAGAAGAAAGCCTTCTGTGCTCATATTCAGTGCAAAATGCCAGTTTTGATGCTTTATCAATTCCACAAAGAATATATATATATGGATTCCAAAATTCATGTGGAAAAAAATATAATTTTAGCACTAGATTTGATTTATATGCTACTTTAATTTTTTTCCATTATGGTGGTATTTTCCAAAATTTTTACACAATGCCACTTTTAAAATCCTGTTGAATGCAAGTCCTCTTTGTTGGTAAGAGAATTATTGACTTCTAATTTTTACTCCACTAAGGCTGTGAGATTGACCTTACAGCCTCATTTTGTTCTCTTCTAGCGCTTGAACAATGAGGATATTTAGCTCCCCTCAGAGCTACCCTCAGAGTTGGATGAGCTACCCTCAGAGTTGGATGCCATCACTGGGAGCAGCAAATGCAAAGGCAACTTGTGATTCTGCCTCAGAAGCAGTCGAATAAAATATTTTGAAAATGAGTAAATGGACTTTTAAATTTTAATCATTGCTAACCTTGCGGCCTCATTTCTGTCAGTTCGTGTGTGGGCACAGTTCTTACTGACTGCCTTGGCAAATTGTGAATGCAAGTGAGGGCAGGATTTGTCCTAAGTTTAAATTGTACTGCTGGAGTGATTTTCTTTTGCTCAGGGCATCATTATTCACATGGCATGTTTTCTAATGTAGAAACAAAGATAGAATATTAAATAAAATTCCAACAGGGGGAAATACAGCAGTGCCTGTAGAAAAACATTTCCAAGGTCAAGGAGCCACAAGAGAAAAACAACAAAGCCAAGTTGGTCTCAGGAGTTTACCATCTTCTGGGTAAACATCAGCTCAGCAAAGGACTCAGAACTCCATTTTGGCCAGACCAACAGATTACTCTTAAATATATAGCTCCTTCCTTCTGGGTGATTTGTCTGCTTGACAATAGGATTGTTATGTAAAAAACAAATATTTATTGAGCACCTACTATTTATCAGTCACTCACTGGTCTGGGTGCTAGGGATCAGTAGGAAACTCAACAGACATGGCCAGTTGCTTTTCTTAAAAAAATCAAATACCCCAAAAATATATTAGACAATACCAAGCCACAATACCCCTAACGAGAAGATGGTCAGTTTTTACATATGAGTGTTTATTGAAAGAGAGATAACATACTTCTAAGTGCATATACATGAAGAAATAATAGCCAAACATAGATTACTAGGGACAGTAATGAAGTCAGCATGTATGCAGTACATGTCACTCCAGGAAACCAACTTTTAAGAAAGAAAAGAGGGAGATAGGGAAAATGTAGGTAAGAAAGAAAGGAAGGAAGGAAAAAGAAAGAAAGAAAGAAAGAAAGAAAGAAAGAAAGAAAGAAAGAAAGAAAGAAAGAAAGAAAGAAAGGAAGAAAGCAGGCAGGCAAATGATAAGCCAAGAAAGAAAATAGTATTTTTAAGGCAAAAAAAAAAAGGAAGACAGATGACCTTAATTTCTATATCCAATACCTCATAGCTGTCATCCCCAAGGATGAGTTCATGTTTTTGATACATTATCAAAAGCAGGCAACACATCTAGGCTTGCCTGGTTCAAGGAATTTACAACTCTGCCCGAGCTTCCAGGAAGGCTGGAACCAGAAGGAAGCCCCCAGCCAGAGTGGATGCTTGCTAGAGATGCCTTCTGCTGCTGCTTTGGAACCCTCCCCTGGCTCTCAATCTACTGTCTGACACTTTATTCAGACCCATTTCCCATTCAACATATAATCCTAATCTATCAGGCATCCCACAGTTGCACATAGGTGTTGCAGAAAGAAGAGACACTTACGAGTCACATGGAAATTTGATTGCCTTAGCTTTGAAAGGTGTGAATTTTCTCTCTGATAATTGAGGAAGGCCATTTCAAATGAAAATTCTAATATCAAGCCACAAAAAAAGGAGAGAAAATGGTACTATCATGAATAGAAGCAGAAGGTGAAAGAGATAGACCAGTCGTCTGGAAAAAGATAAAAGATATTAAAAGCTAGGGCATTTATCAGCTTCTCCTGCTGATTTACTGCCTACCTCCAGCCTGAACCATCATTTGGTAGCATTCCCAGAGCTAGGGCCATCAGAGTACTATTGCCTTTTGGCAAATCCAAGTAGCTAGTGATATGGCATCATTCCTAGAAAAATTGTTTAGCAGAGGAGCTGGAGTTTTGAAAATGGCATTTCAGTCTAGCAGTTCCAAATAGTTACAGATCGACAGGGGCTTTCTGGCCAACTGCTATCAAAAAAAAAAAAAAAAAAAAAAAAAAAAAGCAGGAAGCAGGATGTTCCACTGAGGAATAGATCCTTCCTTCAAAGGCAACCTTGAAAGCACAAAGCAGCCACTTTCAGCTTAGACATTAATAAAGCTAAAAAAGACCATATTAACTCTGCAGAGTTATCCTGACAGAGTCAATACTCCTTTAACTTGTTCTTTAATACAAGAACAAAATGATATATATTACATATCAAAGGGCAATAATTCTGGAGCCAATAAAAAGAAAAAATCTTGTAAGCATGCCATGGATCATTAATATGTGTGATTCAGCCCTAGGAGGTCATGAAATCAAATACTTTCACTAGATTTTTTAAAAGGGCTAAGAAACTTTATGGTCATTAATAACAGTGCAATTATGTAGCCAAAATAATGTTAAGTGTTTTTCAAAGCTCATGCTTTAAGGCATCCATTGATTACTTGGGCAGGTCAGAAGGATTCCTCACCATCCAATCAGCAATGCCTGCAATGGCTAGTTTGCTCTCCTGTTGATGGTTTGCTCCAAAGTCCTATGCAGCCAAGTCTTGTCTCAAAGGACTGTGAACTGGGTTATAGTTCCTGTTTGTTGCAGAAAGTCCTCATATGTTTGAAGGATGAGAATTTCATCTAAAACTCTCTATTTCCAACATGGTACAAAATCTTTTCAATCTGGAAGGGACCTCAGATAGTATATTCTTCAATAGCTTCCTTTTATATCTGAGAAGACTAAATTTTCTCGTCACCCTTTTGACTTAGTTTGGTTCTAGGACTAGGTTCTCACCAATGGTACATGAGAAAAATGCTACTGACAACTTTCAGCTCATCTACTTAAAGGTAATCTAGATTCACTTTTCCTTTTCCTTTTGACTAACCCACAGTGGTAAAAGGCTCATGTTGAGGATGACAAAGAAACCCCACTCTGGCCTGAATTCCTGTATGACTCTGAGGATCAGAACCTACTTACTATCATAAAAAATTGAACTTCTCTTTTCAATTTGAGCCAATCTCCTTTGGAGACTTTTATTATAACTGCTTAAACTTTACCCTAACAAATGCAACTGTAATCTCTGCCACAGAACAATCTCGGAAGAA